AGATTGTGATGGGTTGTGATTTGTCATGCCTAGATGAAAATGCTTGTGCCCCGTGATTTGTCATGCCTAGATGAAAATGCTTGTGCCCCGTGAATTAGCGATATATTGAGCCTAGTGAGACTTGAGCCTTTATTCCTTGTTGTGTGTGTCAAATTGAATGTCCGAGTTATTAGAATTTGCCTTGATTCTCACTTGAAAAGATGCATTGGTGATTATGAGCTTTAAAAATGATTTAGGCGGTTTTTTATTTAGCTCGTTTGGCCTTGTTTCATTGTCCTTAAAAATATTTTTCACTAGTAGCCCGTTTGAGCCTTATGCCCCTTTTCTTGTCGACCAGATTATCTTGTTTATTTTGAAGAAGTTGACTATTGTTCGGGACGTATTGGGATAACGGTGTTATTTATTGAATGATTGGATATGGAATGCGGCGTGATTTAGTCGCGTTTAAGGTGCTTGACCGAAGAAAAAAAAATTAATAATAATAAAAAAAAAATGATAATAAAGGGAGCTCGCAAGTCGAACTGTCGGGATTCTACTCCTCTTACGAGTTGATTAAGTTTGACAAGTAATGAGTATGGGAAACTACTCTAGGATACTTGGATGACCTCCAATGTTTATATCTAGGAAATGTTGTCCTTACGGTTTGATCTTGTTTGGAAGAAGTAAACTCCCCTTAAAAAAAAAAAGAAAAAAAAAACGGTCAAGTACTCTCTTTGTGATTTGATTTGAGCATTTATGAGTTGTGTATGGATTATTTTGGTTTGGGGATGAGAAACACTGATGTTGATTTGGGATGAATAGCGGAATAGTCGAGTAGTCTATTTACTCGAATGGTATGTTTGTTTATTTGAGCCACTTTACCCATATATATCCTACCTTTGACCAAATAGCCTACGTTACAACCCGAGAAGACCTTTTGATTTAAAGCTCATAATTACTAGTTGTGTTTGAAGTAGGGTGTTAAATGATTGGCAAACATATAGTTAACCGGGTGTTTGATTTGACTTGAGCGTATCTTTCCATATTGATGACATGTGAGTGAGGCACTTATATTATTCCTATTTGAGGGTTCGCTGATTCAAGGGTAGACATAAGTAAGTAGTCGAAAGCATGATAGTTATGATCACTTGAATTTCTCTTGGTTGCATTGAAGTACTTGAAGCTGTTCTAGTTGATATCACTCATTATGCTTGAGTTTTGATCTTCTTGTTCTTGTTTCGGGACGAACAAGGGTTTAAGTTTGGGGGAGTTGACATTCATCATATTTTCATGCATTATGAGTGATATAGTGAGATGTTTGACCGTGATTATCGTGAGTTTGTGCACCATTTTGTTTAATTTATTAATCTATGATGGAGGTATATTTGTCGTTGGTTTTGTAGGAAATATGCCTGAAAAAAGCGTTAAAGATATAATCGGGACGAAAAACGACGAAAATAAGGTGCAGACAGGTCACACGACTCGTGTGGAGCGTGACACGAGTCGTGTGGAGTGAGAAAAATTGGAGTTTTGTTGCGGCTTTCCCACACGAGTCGTGTGGCCCATGACACGAGTCGTGTGGGCTCACACGACTCGTGTGACGTCTCGTGTGATGTGCTCGTGTGAACCTGGAACTTTGCCGAAATTGAAGACAAGTCACACGACTCGTGTGGCCTGTGACACGACTCGTGTGACGCGCAGACAGTCCAGCGGGAAATAGGAAACCTACGCGATTTTCTCCCTTTTTCAACCCATATTTGCCCTACAGTATATAAGGAACATAAAGAACACGGTTTTGGGACTTTTGACACCATTGGAGGCCTGGGGAAAGCACGAAACACACGAGGGATTCGAGGAAGTCAAGATTGAAGATCCGGGAA